TATCTTGAATCTAAGTGTGTTTAATAACTGGTGAATTGGATTGCTTTATGATATTTGCTGGGATGCTAGTTTTTTTCTCTATTAATACACTTAACTTGCATTCTAGCTTCGCCATTCAGAGACAGGCATCGAGTGGTGGGTTGTGTGACAGTGTCTGTCAATAGTGAAGACAAATAGTGCCAGAGACACTTAACCCATCCAATCTCACCCAGGGTATAGGTCGGTCTTGTTTTCAGACTTCTTCATAAGTCTCTTTTCTTTCTTTCTTTTTTTAATTTTTTTTTAAATTTTATTTATTTTTTTTGTTTATTTCTGAATAGTGGATTGATACTGATTTGAAACTAAACTTTTTGGAAAAGTTTTTGACATGACACCAGTAATACAAGAAGAAGAAAAGTAGAACCCCAAGTTTGGCATGTGAGGTGTTGAAAGCAGGTTTGCAGCCACTTTGTAAGTTCTGGGTTTTACCTTGAAAACCTTTGACAACACAGAGGTTGATGGTGAAAATTTTGCACAGTTTCCTTCTGGCTCTGTCCTGAAATTGTTCTTCTGTGTCCAGGGGTTCAAATAAACCAATTAACATAAAAAAAACTTACCAAGGACGTGACATGTTAGATAAATTAACACATTTCATGAAAGCTATATTTCACATATTAAGCTTGTGCATCACTTAATCCTCACCCTGTGGGTGAGTTTTCATTTTTGACACTTGTTTTCTGCACAGAACATAGAGGATACCATGGGATCCAGAAGAGGTTCTGAGAAAAAAATTAGTCCTTTGATGGCTTTTTGTTTGTCCTGGCTGTCCATGCACAGGTGGCTGGAAAACTTGTGAAATCAAAAATATCTTCAGTGTATTTATTTGTCTTTATAATGTTAAGCTTTCCAGTCTGGGAAATGACTTCTATTGCAATTTAAAAGCAAAGTCATCAGGACACTGTTTCTGTTTGAGGACTTGGTAATCCTTGTTGTATTTGAAAAGAGTGAACAAGGATTTCAGGATTGGCTCCACACAAGTGTTAACTGAAAAGGCTCCCTCAATGCCAAATAGTGATTTTTTTTTTTTTTTTTCTCTCCTGCCTTTCCAAACCTTTTGTTTTTTTAGAGGCTGAATGCCTCGTTTGACTTGACAGGAGAATAGGATATAGAAGATATGTCATTGCCTTGGTTGCTAATGCAGGAGGTAATAAATTTTCTTTTTTTTCTTTTTCTGTTTTTGGTACTGAAAAGAAAAAGCCTGCCCTGGTTTGCTCACAGGGACACTCTTTGCTATGTGCTCCCTTACTTTTAGTCCTTGTGCTGGACTGATTGATACAATTCTGCCTCTTTTAGGGGAGAAAAACTTGTAGCACAGGCAACAAAATCTGAATTAGTTCTTCCAGCTCCCTTTGATGTTACAGTGATGGCAGTGAAGAGATTCAGGAGGTTTAGTTTCAACAGTGATCACAGTTGCTCTAATGTGGAATATTCTTTTCTCTTGTTTTTTATTTAAAAAAGGAGAAAAAAACCCCACCTTGTGATGCTGATGCACATTTCATTTCTATTCCTGAGGCTGCACACTTGCCATGACAAGCACTTGGCTTCTGTTCAGTGTCATTGCTCTGAAAGCAAGTTTGATTTTGAGACTGTGTTAAATGAAATATATTCAGTCTTCTATTTCAAAATGTACCTACTCACTCAAAAATACATATATGTATTTGTCATTGCACGCACTGTTAAATTGCAAATCATGAGCCACCTGTACCAATTCCCATTAATATGTGTCTAAAGAAAGTAAAATAAAAGGAATGCTCAAAGTTGGGGAAGGTGTGTGTATGCTCTCACCTTATAAAGCAACACAAGTGAAGTTAAAATTATTAAGTTACTTATTTTCCAAAATGCAGCATGTTCATCCAAGGAATCTCTTTTGGGTGTCAGATACAAGTGTCACTGGCTTTGGAATAAAATGATGGGCCCAAATGGGAGCCATGTAAAGCACTGTTTATTCATTGCAGTACCATGGTGAATTCTTATTTGATTGACCCAGTTTATCAGTTCAAAGGAAGATGAGTTGGCTCAAGGCCTGCATACTCTGAGAAAACATAGATTTCACTGTTTCTTAGTATTTTTGTAACTTAAAATGTTACTGAAGCAATTACTAATTTATCTAATTAATGCCCCCAAAAGTTTTTAAATCTGTAAATTTGCCTGTTCCAACACAGCCAGTTTATTCCATTTGCTGTAGTATTTATCATACTTTTTTATTCATGGGCGGTAATGGCATTAATTTATTATATAAGGCTAAAGAGAGGTTTTCTTGCCATTACAATTCAATTTGGGTCTATTTACAAAACCTAATCTTATCATTACACAGGGGCATCTCTGGTAAATGGAGGAGAGTGTAACCAATTTATAATGGACAGTGTTTATTCACTTTTAAAAAGTATAATAGCCCTCGTACACATATTTATACATATAAGTGCTTTTTAACTCCTAGAAAAAGAAAGAAGTTGTTTTTGGAGAGCAATAATGATGATATTGCAATAATGATAATATTTCACAATGCTGCACCCTAAAACAACACTACCATCACCAGCTCTTTTAGCTTTGTGCTGAAAAGCCTTTGGTTCAGTGATATATTTATTTTTTTCCCTAGGAAAGTGAGGGAAAAGTGCAGGTTTTGCATTCCTGGCCAGGAGATGCACTGAAGCACCAGCTGAGCCCAGTGCTTGGTGTACGTGGCCCACGCAGAGCTGAGCCTGGAGTGTCCAAGGTTTTCTTACACTCCCAGGATTGATGTGAAAAGATAAATCTGATATTAATCTGTTGGAGGAGGAGTCCTGCAGTCGAAGCCCTGCTGCCTGTTCCATGTGTGTAATGATTTCATGGTCTGAGTCCCTGTCCCACAGCCCCCGACGTGCCCTCGCTGCCTCGGGCTCTTCCCTCAATTCATTTACTGACCTTTCCTGGGGCAAATCCTGGGATTCAGCCCCCCAGTGCTGCAGCTCGGCCAGCTGCTCCAGGGGCTCCCTGGTCACACTCCTGCTTCTCTTTGGAGCTGTAAGTGATGGATGGAAACCAATCCTCTCTACCAAAACAAACATCCCAAGTAGCAACGGGCTGTCTCAACTCAAAGTGGCTGCAAATCAACTCCTAAATATTGTCACTGAAATGAATATCTAGATTTAATAGTTCTTGCCAATCCTATAAATGTTTTTGAAAGAAGCATTGCATTAATGCATGATATAGAAAGGAGAAATTTGCCTTTAAATTGGAATGCAAAGTGACTGAATTCTCCAGTTTCAGCCACTGTATTTGCCAAAGAAAAAGCTGGAAAATGGAACTGGTATCATTCAGCTGCTCCTGGTTCACTGGGAGGCTGGGGGAAGGCAGAATAATTTATTGATAAACTGTTATGTATTGATAAACTAAATTTGACAGTCTGAAGTGATTTAAGTTTGCTTTTGCATTCATTTAGCAAAGGAAATCTGTAGAAAACAGTAATGGTTTAAAATTTCTTTATTATCAGTCATTGATGCTCCTGGTAATTCCCAGTGCAGTAAAGTTGGCTGAATTTTACTGTTAATTGATTGTATGTATCATGGCTGAACATCCTTTATTCTGTTACTTCTAAATAATTAAAACTGTATAGAATAGACCAACAGTCTCTAAATCTTTTAGACTTGAGAGACTATTATGATATTTTGGATTTAAAAAAAATCCCAAGCAGCAAAACAGAGAACATCACTTTCCTCTTAGTAACAGGGATTACCTGTTTGTCAGCAGTAACTAGCTGAACAAACATACTGTGTTATTAGGTATATATTTAATATACAATTTGTTTCCAAAATTAGGTTATTTCAGTGCTTCTGGTTTATCAGGTGTGCATGGCAATGCAGAAATACAGAAAACAGATTGCCCCCCAGGAATCTAAAATCTGACTATAAAATTCAGTTATTCCTCAGTGAGCTACAGCTGATTGAAATACATACATATGTTTGCATGGCCTGCTTCCCCTGGGTTATTTAAGTTACATATTCCATTGATTTGTCCATTAAAATTCTTCAATGGCAACGATTATGGTGTTCTCCAGAAATCTTTAGGGGTTTGGTTTAATAATTTTCATGTTTCTAAACCAAATTGAGCTCTGGGACTTCTGCAGAAGTCACAGTGTTGGAAATCTTCTGTTTAATGTGAATTTTTCAGAGGTCTGTCCCAAGACGTCTCTGTGGAAGGGACCAATAAAGTGTGAGAGAAATTGATCCCAGTGACTGAATAAGTCAAATTACAGAAATTCCCAGGCCTTGGATCAGCACGTCTCCAACACAGATATTTCACCCCTGTTTTGAACCTTCAAAATCAACAGCTCGCTCATAGTGACTGATACCAGTTCCATTTTGCCTACCAACTCAGTTGATTTTATATTTTATTTCTCATTTATGATGGAATAATCAGCAGCTCTTTTTCTCATTTATTTTCTCATATTTTTATTCCAGGATTTGCCTCTGAAGCAGGGAGTGTCTGCATTAAAAATGACCTGTAGTTCTCTGCTTCATAGGTTAGAAACTTATTTTAATATTTTGTGGCTAAGCACAGTCCCATCTTTTTCAAAAGAAGAAAAATTTTAAAAATTTTGAACAATAAATTGTTTAATTGGCATTGAATGTGGATTATAAGCACTTTGCTTTGGGGCTATTTTAGATGAAATGGCTTCTACACCAATAATTAGTCCAGCTGAGGCAATGAAAGCTCTGTTTACTCGCAGCCATTTGTATGAATTAACATTAAGTCGTAAAAAAATTTGATCACAGTGGATCGTGCTAAGACTCGTTTGGACATTTCCAAAGCATTGGCTAGGCTGTGTTGCTTTAAGCACTTCCATTCCAAAACTGAACCAAATTCCAAACATTTCTTGGGGGAAAGCAATCGGTTCCTAAATCACCTTGATCTCACTGGGACTGCTATAGCCAGCGCACGCCCCACCACGGGTCCTGTATTTACTTGTGAATTGTACACCGCAGATGCTTCTTCAGCTCCCTCCTCTTCCTCCATGGGCGGTGCTTGCAGCTCCTTTACCACCTCTTCCAGCCCTACCATTTACTCTACCTCAGTCACCGACAGCAAGGCTATGCAAGTGGAGAGCTGCTCCGCGGCCGTGGGGGTAAGTACCCGAGGGGTAAGTGAGCAGCAGATAACCGGGAACGCAGCCCCGCAGCAGCCGGCCACGCCGAAGCGCCACACAGTCCTGTACATCTCGCCACCACCCGAGGACTTGCTGGACAACAGCCGGATGTCCTGCCAGGATGAGGGCTGTGGATTGGAGTCAGAGCAGAGCTGCAGTATGTGGATGGAGGATTCACCCTCCAACTTCAGTAACATGAGTACCAGTTCCTACAATGATAACACTGAGGTGCCACGTAAATCGCGCAAGCGCAACCCAAAGCAGAGGCCAGGGATCAAACGCCGAGATTGCGAAGAGTCCAACATGGATATCTTTGATGCCGACAGTGCCAAAGCGCCTCACTATGTCCTTTCTCAGCTCAGCACGGACAGCAAAAGCAACTCAAAAGCAGGAAATGGGTTGGTATCTGCTTTTTTTTTTTTTTTTTTTTTTTTTT